TATGTCATAACGAAACCTAGAATTGATGAAGTCATCATGGACCATGAGGAGAACCAACTTTAGAATATTCTCCCTGGAGATGGTAAAACAGACTTGGGAGGAATCTGGGTCCTTGAACACATCATTAAGTCACTGATTATATTATATCCAGAGATGTCTTATTTCTTGTTTGTTGTTGATACAAGAGAATAAGTTTTTTCACTGTTCAAGTTTAGTTAAATTGATGTTTTCTGTTGCTTTTAGTCAAAAGCATTGTGATCGATATAGTTCATTCAGAAAAAGTGGAGTTCAGTAATCTTCCCATAGAGAATTTTGTTGTAGTGTGACTCTTAGGGGGGAAGGGGGGAACAAATTAGGAAATCGCCTAGAATTTGAGAAGTGTGAAATTAATAAAACATCTTTTACTAAAATTGATAGAGATCAGGTAGACATGAACAATGAGAGCATGGAAAAGGAGGGGTTTACTCTACAGACTGAGCCAGTGTGCTAATTCTCAACATGTTTTTAAAGAAATAACTTAAAAAAAAATCATCCTGGGACTTAAGATAATAGCCTCATTCCACAGGGCTGAGGAGCTTTTGCCTAAGTCTCCTCCTTTGATAAAATAAAGACTTATTGCCTCAGCTAGAAACTGGATAGCTCAATGGCCTCAAAGCTGTGAAATCAAGTTCTAGATAAAATCAGAAGGCAGGAATGAAGATGTCTAAAGTTGCATTTAGGTCCTTGGCCTGTTATTTAATCATATTGTAATTATAAATTTTCACCCCTGTGGGTTTCAGTTAGATACTCATGAGTGAAGCATATACAACAGAGATTTAGAAATTCAATATAATTCAACTATCAATCAAGAACTAGGAGTTAGTGCTCAGGCAGGACTCTCTAGAAACTTCCCCTCTCACCCCAATAAAATGGAGCTGACAAAGATGTGAGTTTTCTTCTTCTCTCAGAGGACCCATTATCTGTCTGTCTGTCTGTCTCTCTCTCTCCCTCTCCCTCTCCCTCTGTCTGTCTCGTTTTTTTTTTTGGTACCAGGGATTGGTTGAATCCTGGGGGGGGGGGGGGTTCTTTACCAACTAGCTACATTCCCAGCCCTTCTTTATTTTTTATTTTGAGACAGGGTCTTATTAAGTTACTTAGGGCTTTGCAAAATTGCTGAGGCTGGCCTTGAACTTGCGAATCCCTTACCCCAGCTTCCTGAGTTGCTGAGAGCAAGCATCATTGTGCCTGGCTAACTTCTTTATACTTATCTTGCTTGAAATCTTCTCATGAAGACACAGAGTAGAGAACCCAATGCATCTGCTACTAACAAAATCTTTGATTATTAGAACATAATAAAACAAAGGAATTTAACTTTTTTTTTCTTTTCAGTACTGGAGGTTAAACTCAGGGGTGCACTACCACTTTCTTTTTTTATGTAAATTTTTAAATTTATATATGACAGCAGAATGCATTACAAGTCTTATTATATATAGAGAGCACAGTTTTTCATATCTCTGATTGTATACATGGTATATTCACACCAATTTGTATCTTCATACATGTATTTTGGATACTAATGATATAAAGAACTCAAAAAGCTAAACACACCCAAAAAAACAAATAACCCAATCAATAAAAGGGCCAAGGACCTGAAGAGACATTTCTCAGAACATGATGTACAATCAGTCAACAAATACATGAAAAAATGTTCATCATCACTAGCAATTAGAGAAATGCAAATCCAAACCATTCTAAGATTTCATCTCACTCCAGTCAGAATGGCAGCTATTATGCATATAAACAACAATAGGTGTTGGCATGGATGTGGGGAAAACGGAATGCTCATACACCAAATTGATGCAGCCAATATGGAAAGCAGTATGGAGATTTCTTGGAAAATTGGGAGTGGAATCACTGTTTGACCCAGCTATCCCTGTCCTCAGTCTATACCCAAAGGACTTAAAAACAGCATACTAAGGGAACACAGCCACATCAATGTTTATAGCAGCACAATTCACAATAGCTAAACTATGGAACCAACCTAGATGCCCTTAAATAGATGAATGGATAAAAAAAAAATGTGGCATATATACACAATGGAATATTACTCAGCAATAAAAGAGAATAAAATCATCGCATTTGCAGGTAAATGGATGGAGTTAGAGAAGATAATGCTAAGTGAAGTTAGCCAATCCCAAAAAACAAATGCCCAATGTTTTCTTTGATATAAGGAGGCTGATTCATGGTGGGATAGGGAGCGGGAGGATGGGAGGAATAGCCACTTCCTTTTTAAATTTTTGTTTTTGTAGTTGTAGATGGACAGCATGACTTTATTTTATTTGCTTATATTTTTATGCAGTACTAAGGATTGGACCCAGTGCCTCACCCATGCTAGGCAAGTGCTCTGCCACTGAGCTACAGCCCCAGCCCACCACTGGGCCACTTCTGAAGCCTTTTAAATTTTTTTCTTTTGAGACAGGGTCTCCCTAAATTTCCCAGGCTGACCTCAAATTTGAGATCTTCCTGTCTCCGCCTCTAGGGTCTCTGGGATTACAAATGTGCATACCACACCCAGCATCACAGTGCCCAGTATGGTTCAGCTTTAATAAGCAGTCATGTGAGTTTACCTTCATTTCTTTTCTTTTGAATTTCCTTAGCTTTATAACCTAGTTCTTGATAGCTGTTACTATCAGTTGCCCAATATAGTGAGAACTTTGCTCTGAAAGGAAAGCTCAGGCATTAATAAACAATTTTATTATTTCAAGATTGGGTTCTCTACTTATGTGAGTTTTCTGCTATGGATTATAGCTGCAGTAATTATATAATACATCTTTAGTCATAATTTTGTGCTTTCTTATATTTTGAATCCTATCCTTTTAATTATTCACAATTAGTAATTTTAAAGTTTTTTCATTAATATTACTGGACTTTGTTTTAATGTTGACATTTAAAACCCCTGGATAATGATCATAGGCATTTGAAGTAGTTTATATGGCACTTCTTGACCTTCGTCCAAAGCTGAACCTCCTATCAGTTGTACACAAATTCTGCTCCTTTATTATAGCTCCAATCCTCTTTCTCAACCTAGGAGAAGCTTTATAGGCATTACCTTTAATTCAGAAACAAGTCATTAGGAAATACTGGCACTTTTTGTTTTGTTGTAGTACTGGGGATAGAATCCAAGGGTACTCAACCACTGAGTTAAATCCCCAGCCCTTTTAATTTTTTTATTTGAGACAGAGTCTTGTAAAATTACTGAGGCTGGCCTAAAACTTGTAATTCTCCTGCCTTAGTCTCCTGAGTATCTGGGATCATTAGTACTGTTTATCAGTACCAGATTCTTAAAACATTCCTTCTGACACTTCAGTGACATTGCATAATTCCTCGTGACTCCCAGTGAGGAGGATCACTTTAGTAGTCATTAAAATGCATTGGGAAGGAAGAAACAAAGGATAAAAAATGAGGTTCTCTTCCCTACCATACTGGAGAGTAAACCTTTGTTTTTATTCTCTGCCTCAGTTCTCCTTACACACAAAAATGAAAGCTATAAGAAGTTTTCATGGAAATATTAGTAAGTTTACTATTATTGTTTTGAGAATTTCAATCCAAAAAAAAAAAAAATAGGATGGAGGGAACTGGGTGGTGGTGTATACCTGTAATCCCAGTGACTCAGGAGGCTAAGGCTTGGAATCACAAATTCCAAGCCAGCATCAAGCAACTTACTGAGACTCTAAAAGGAAGGGAATGTGGCTCAGTAGTTCAATCCTTGATACCAAAAAAGGGGAAGAAAAAAAAAAAAGGGGCCAGGGTTGTGGCTCAGTGGTAGAGTGCTTGCCTAGCATGAGTGAGGCACTGGGTTCGATCCCCGGTACCACATAAAAATAAAAACAAATAAAATAAAGGTATTGTGTCCATCTACAACTTAAAAAAAAAAAAGCATGGAGGGCTTGGCAATACAAAGGAATTCAAAAGTGGATGACCTGGAATGTAGGCTGAGGAGTTAGTTGATCATTATTTTATGGAGGCTTGTAAAGATGTAAAGATTATTGAGTAGGGCAGTAGTAGTATTATCACCAATATCCAAGTCTTAGGAGGAAAACTGGCAGTAGTGCGTAGAATAAAGAAAACGAAAAAAATAAAAGTTAGGATATTATTAAAGGTCCAGATAAGGGATGCTGATGGAAGTGGGAGAAATGGGACCAATTCAAGAAATATGAAGAGAATCAATTGTAGAAGCAATAGCATTTCTCTGGATGTGAGGACAGAGAGGAAGAATTTGAACAGGACTGAGGTTTCTAGCCTGAATATTGTTAGATGCTGATACCATCAACTGAATGGAAGCACAGAGATTGCGAGTGTGTGTGTGCGCACACACACACACACGCGTGTGTGTTTGTTCGCAAGAGGTGAGTGTATGGCAGGGGTTGGGAATGATTTATCTTGAAGTTTCTGTGGATACCGTGTAGTGCTATCTGGCTGGACAGCTGGAGTAGGTCTGGGGAAACTTCTTCCTAGAAAGGAAAGGAATACTCTTGTAATGAGAACAGCTCACTTTTATAATGCTCAGACATTAGCGCCCCAAACCCTGAGGTAGTTATTACCTAGCCAGTAGTAAAAGCTTGATTATAGCCCCTGCTTACTGTATGAAGGCCCTTAGTTCCCACAACTTCCATAGGCAATGTGATATTAATTGTGATTAATTATCGTGTGGCTCATTACAGAGACCAGATTGAAAGGTTTCTCTCTGGAGCCCTTAGGGCAAGGGAACTAACTGGACAGCACCCTGGGTGGCCTTCGGCCCTTCTCGGATCAGAGCTCACTAGCCGCTAGCTGTCACCAGCTGGGTCTGGAGCTTGGAACCCTCCCTGACTTGGGGGCTTTCAAATGTGCCAAGGTACCGGCGTCCTTCTCCCTTCCTGGCACACCCTTCCAGTCGCCTTAGAGCGGGACGGGGCGGGTCTCCAAGGCCCCGCCCCCAGACCCCACCCCGCCCCACCCCCTGCCGCCGGCTCCCTCGGGCTGGCAGTGTGTTCGCGCCTGCGCTGGTCCTCGTCTCGGAGCAGCCATGATGGTGGGTGTTCTTAGCGGCGCCGAGCCCCGGGCGCGCGGTGGGGGTGTCGGGCGCGGGGCGGGCGCGGGGACCGCGCCGGCCTGGCACTAATGTCTCCTTTTGTGTCTTCCCCACCTCATCTTCTTCCTCGGCGCGCTCGGCCCGCCGACCCAGCAGGAAGGCCTGGACGATGGCCCCGACTTCCTCTCGGAGGAAGACCGCGGAGTAAGTTCTGTCTCGTCTTCTTGCGGAATCCGCCCTGCCCTGCCTCAGCCCCCGGGTGTTATTATTGAGTAGGGGTCTCCACCCGCGCTGCGCACGTCTGGGTCGTAGTCCTTTGGATTTCCTCGCCGCATCGCGCCCCGCCCTCTTGCAGCCCTTCCTCCCTGAGGGCCGCTCTGTTCCTGATTTCCAGAGGACCCGGGGCGGCTTTCTTTTCTCCAGTCCCAGATCCTACCCTTCAGTGAACCTCCTCCCCTTCTCCCAGCAGGGTGCAGGTAGGGAAATGGAGGTGGAGGCCAAGCTGCTATGCTTCCACTCTCTCGCCACTTAGGCCGAGAAAACCCGTCCTCAGACCTTCCTTGGCGGCACCCTCAATCTTCCCCCGTTGTGAACCTCTCGAACCCTCTCCTACCCACCCTTCTCTTTCTCGAGCAGATATAGTACAGGTTTATTCTACATTACCCTTTTGCAAGGATTTTCACAGTCGTCGAACCTCAACTGTTCTTCAGCGTCCTACCAGATTTTTACAAAGTGCTGGTAGCCCATGGTATCTTTACTTTTTCTAACATCAAAAACAAACAAAGCCCCATCTTTTGCAGGGTTCCCTGGTATCTCCCTCAGCTTTATTGAGGTATGGCTGACAATAATAATTGTGTATATTTAGGATGTACAACGTAATATTTTGACATATGTATACATTGTGAAATGATTACCCTGTCAAGCTAATTAACATATACCTCACTTCGAGTAATTGCCAGTTTACTTTTTTGATGAGAACCCTTCAGATATACTCTCAGTAAATTACAAGTATTATTTTACTTACAGTCACCAGGCTGAAAATTAGAACTCCAGAATTATTTAAATTATTGAAAGTTTGTACCCTTTGACCAATCTGACCAATCTCTCCTCTTTCCTCCAACCCTTCCCCCACCCCCTGCCTCTGGTAACTACTATTCTACCTTTGGTGTTAAAGGCCTTCTAGATTCCAATTTCTCTCAACTCTGCTTCCGATTGCCTTGAGCAAAGAATGGTAATGTGTATGGTGCCTTGTACAAATGAACATCGAAAAATATTGATACATGATAATTGCTGCTCAGCAAAGTGTCCCTGGTTCCTTCACATTATCCATCTTAGATAATGTGAGAGCTACATCTTTAGTGGGTTTTTGGTAGGGGGTAAAATTTTGTTAGCTGTTTTTGCTGTATTTAATGAAATGAGGTGGTAAGTATTAAGCTTTCAAATAATAAGATGCAGAGGATGCTGCATATTTTTATGAATGATCAATTAATTAATAATTTTCTCATTTTACACAAAATTTAGGATTTTTGGTTAGTGCAAAAGTTTGTAGAACTTCTAGTTTCCAAAATTTCTTTTCAGAGAACTATAAAATGAAATGGGTATGTGCAAATGTATATGTATCTTCTGGGATAAGAGAATTATGTGAGCATTTGCAAATTATATTTTGGATTTTAAAATAGGGGAAACCAACAGAGCTACTAATGAAATTAAATGAATTGATAATAGTGCAATTAAACTGATTTTTTTTCTAAAAATAAAACATGACCTTCATTATTTAGATAACTTTGTGTTTATGTGATTACATGAAAAGAGCAAATAGGATTTTTTTAAAATTAAGATCTGTTTGATAAAACTACTAATTTTTGGAGCATTTACATTGATGATGTGAAAAGTAGAATATTTTCTGGTAAATATTTGTATTCATAACTTTATGCCTTTGTAAGATTTCCCTATAGGACTGGAAACACTTAAGTAATATGTCTGCGTTTTTCAATTATTACAAAATTCAAGGGGAAGAAGACAAAGAGCATGCCTGACTAGGAGGTTCTTATAGAATCTTGGAGATGAAAACTTTAATATGAAATGGAAAAAAACTGGGTGGAGGATATAGCTCAGTGGTAGGTGCTTGCCTAGCATGCATTGGGTTTGATCTTTAGTACTGCAATAAAGAAAGAAAAAACATAGTTATGAGTTAGAAAGTTTTTAGATGTCATGGTGAATGTGTACATATGTCCAATTTTTCCTTATTTTTGTCTTATAGAACTAGGTGAATTGAATTATAGTAATAATTATAGCTGAGCACATTGTTAAGCACTATTTTGGCATTATTTCATTAATAACATCTTTGAAGTATGCCCCTTTTATAGTAAATCCAAACCTTCCAGAAACTAAGAAAGTAGTCTAAGGTCACACAGTGAATGGGAGCTGGATTTTAAACCTAGTTACTGACATTGGAACTATTACATGTGTTTCTCAGAATGGCCTTGAAATATTTCCATCAGAATCACCTGTAGTGTTTGAAAAGCAAAACAAAAATTTATGGATCCCATGCCCTTATTAAATCAGAATCTCTTGGGGTGGGAAGACAATTTATTTATTTTTTTAAGTACTGGAGGTTTTACCCAGGGGTGCTTAACCACTGAGCCACACCTTCAGCCGGTATTTTTATGTTTTATTTTAAGACAGAGTTTCGCTAAGTTGCTAAGAACTTGCAATTCTCCTGCCTTCTTTTGAGTTACTGGTATTACAGTTGTGTGCAACCATACTGGCCCAAATAACTGCTTTTTTTTTTTTTTTTTTAAGTTATAGATGAACACAATACCTTTGTTTGTTTGTTATGTGGTGCTAAAGATCGAACCCAGTGCCTCACACATGCTAGGCAAGTGCTCTACCACTGAGCCACAACCCAAGCCCAAATATCTGCTTTTTACGTTAACATCCAAGAGTTTGTGTTGTGCACTGAAGTTTGATCACTGTTTCACAAAGTTACTGTGTGTTTCTTCATTTCAGGAACAGAAGTGCCCGCCCTGTTTAAATTTCCTTAAATTGTACTTGTCCTGATAGAAATAGACTGCCACAGTTAGAACTTTAAGGCATTGCAGTTTTAGTTTAGATCATCTTGTTCAGTCTTTAGGAAAGGGAGTCTTGATACAGAAAAGCATGAAATGAGTATTTGATATGAGTTGCAGAGGAAATATCCCACCTTCAAAAATAAAAAGTGTACAAAGCAGCAAGTAGGTTTTCATCATGATAATTGGATCAGAACAGAATCTTATAGCATCAAGAAAGTATTGTTTTGTGAGAAACAAATAAGTTTATAAGAACACACAGTGTTGAAAATTATTGGCCACATTTTGATCTCTTCAGCTCCATCGCAGCATAATAGATTTTTCCCCCAAATGAAGAACTGTAACATGTTATTTAGTAAACAAATGAGCCCTTTGAACTGAACACATTTTGCTGTGATGTATTTGTTAAATTAAGTGTAATACATGCCAAAGTGATGGCATAATTCTCAGCATTCGGTTCCAATTCTAAATAATATGTTTATTGTTTTAAAAAATTACTTTAGGGGCTGGGGATGTGGCTCAAGCGGTAGCGCGCTCGCCTGGCGTGCGTGCGGCCCGGGTTTGATCCCTCAGCACCACATACAAACAAAGATGTTGTGTCCGCCGAGAACTAAAAAATAAATATTAAAAAAAATTCTCTCTCTCTCTCCACCCCCCCCCCCTTAAAAAAAAATTACTTTAGGTGGGGTAACTATATCTTATCCTGGACTCAGTCTTCCTCCTCCCTCTGTATTCCTTATCTTCATTAATGGCCTCATTTTATAGTTGTGCAAGAAACCTCTGAATCATACATATTTTTATGTTAGAATAGTCACTGAGGTCAGTTAATTTTACCTTAGAATGTGTATCCCATCTTAAGTCTTTTCTATGGCTCCAGTTAATCTTTGCTACTTCTTGCCTGAGTTGTAGCAGTAACCATCATTTGTCCATCCTTAGCCTTTCTACTTTCTAATCCAGCCTTCACATTACGCATAGTTACATAACTGAAATCATTTAAGTCATTTCGTGAGTCAAAAGTACTTATGTTAACCTCATTCTTTTTGAAGTAAAGTCCAGATTCTTTAGGTTAGCATTTATAACTGTTTTCTGGCTGGCTTTAATATGCTGCCCCCACCCTACACATACCTTCGTCTGTTGTCATTGCCCAGTTGCACCTCTGCACTTAAATGTCTGCTTTATGCATGCATTTCCGCGTTGTGGAGTGCTTTCCTCCTCACTACCTTTTCTTTCAACACTTGGCACAGCTGTTTGCTTTTTATTTTGTACATGCACAGCATTTAGTTTAAACACATTCCACATTTATTAATAGTTTTTTTTTTCCCAATAAAAATGTGACATAGAGCTGAGCATCATGGCCCAAACTTGAGGCAGGAGGACTACTCAAGTTCAAGGCCAGCTTGGGCAATTTAGTGAGACCTGGCTCAAAAATAAAAAGGATTAGGATGTAACTCAGTGGCAGAGTGCCTAATATGTGCAAGGCCCTGGGTTGGATCCCCAGTACCACCACGGAAAAAGTAATATGGTATTCTCTGAGGCTAAAAAGATGAATAGGACAAGGTTCTTGCCCTGAGATCATAACAGTGCAAGGAGGAAGGTAGTTATTATCCCTTTTGTTAAAGTGCCTTGAGCACAAAGAAGAGAGTGTTTAACTTTGGGGACAGGGATAGTAAAAGACACAAGTTACAGGCTTGTATTGCATTGACTGTGTGGTAGGGACTATGTGTATTGACTCGGTTCTCAAATCTGTATGGGAAGTAGCTGCTGCTGTTCCTATTTTGGATAGGAACAAAGGTTTAAAAAGATTAAATAACTTCTCAAGGTCATACAGCCAGTAGGACTTGCAGTCAGACACTGTTGGTTTAGCTCTAGGGTCTGGTTTCGTTTCTTTTCTGTCACATCCTCACCCCCTTTTATTTTGAGACAGGGTCTTACTAAGTTGCTTTAAGTTCTCACTAAATTGCTGGGGCTGGCCTCAAACTTGTGATCCTCCTGCCTCAGCCTTCAGAATTGATGGAATTACAGGCATGTACCACCTTGCTGGGCTGGGTTCTTAACCTCTTATCATCAATTGGGCTGTGCTGACCTTTATTTTTTTATTTATTTATTTTTTTGGTGTTGTTTTTCTACTGGGGATTT